TACCAAATATTGAAGCGCTTGCGTACGTGTTGCGTACTTGCGAGGTATCGCATTCTTGTCGCGGTACGTACGCTGTTGAAGGTCATTGCGATGTGACGCAAGCACGGAGGAACAAACGCGCGAGTTTTAAACGCCAGACCCCAGGTGCACGCGCAATCGTCTCGTTCGCTTAGGCATTTACGGATGAGTTTCCTTTACTTTTCTTTCCTCGTTCCTTTTTTTTTTTTGGAAGCCACCGAGACATTAGTCACGCTTTTGTGCTTTTTACTGCGATAGCAATTATATGGACAGTCTCCGCTGGTTTTTCCGTCGCCGCCACCGTAATTCATTCACGCACACGCACACACACACATACACACACACACACACACACACACACACACACACACACACACACACACACACACACACACACACACACACACACACACACACACACACACACACATATATATATATATATATATATATATATATATATATATATATATATGTGGGGAGTGGAGGGCTTATGGTTGCCGCGCTATCACGGCACCGATCGGCGCGCGCCCTGTGCCCCCACAGCAGGCGGGAGCTTCTACGGGCTGCGGTCTCATCGATGATCACGAAAAAACTGTGCCAAAAGTGTACCTGGAGCGGTCGTGTCGTGTCTCTTACACCAGCGTTTTGTAGACTTACGTGAGATCGGATCTTAATGACTTGACTGCCAGCCTCACTTCGTATATCAACGCCGTCACTACACACGGGCCTCGTTGCGGTCATCTACTGTGGCGGCGCCGCAGGAAACTTGGTTACTTGTCACGCGCATGTTTACTACAATTAATACTGCTCATAAGAAATGCTAGCCTTGCTTCGTAAAACATTCGAATATATTGCTATCGCATTCATTGCTTTGCCCTTCTGGCGAAAATGTGAAAAAAAAAAGCATGTGAGTTTGCTTGACTTTCGGTGGACAATATCTGATAACCTGACCAGTCTTCGTGTGCGACTCAGTCAATCATTTGGCCAATCAGTTTGTTAATACGACATATGTACGTAGAGTCAAAGGAAAAATACAACACAAGTCGCGACATCGTGTTAGTAAATGCACACCATAAAAATTCTGCCGAATAGCACGACCCCTTTCATAATCGCTTCGCTCCACTGTCGAACCACTTCTCCGCGTAACTTGCTTATGGAACGCTATAGAAGCTGCTGCACTTACGGGACGGGACTTACGTGAGTATTGACATTTACCGTCGGTTTTTTTGTTAAACTGTGAATGTTTATAGAGTTGGTGTTCGTAAAGCACGTGGGTCGATGGTCACGTGTGCGTCTACTGTCACGTTCGCTACGTTGACAGACGTGCGATGAGTCCCATTAGGGGGGTAGAGGAGGTCTACTGTGCGTGGTATACAGTAGAACTTCGTTTATGCGCTTTCAAGAAACAAAAATATATGTGGGAAGAAACGTACTATCCGGGAAATTGCAGAATCCAAATGCACTACAACATCGCGCAGTTCCGCTCAATAGCGATCGTTGTAACCGGGGGATCGTACGACAGGGGAACGAAGCAACGCTCCCTCGACACAGTTGTGTTGTGCTTTGACGGGGCAAGTGGGGGGGGGGCACTCCCCTGTGTGCCTTCCCCAACCCCCCTTCTGGCACCACGCCTGGATGGCATTCCTCGACAGTACACGTGAACTTTAGTTTGTATTTTGTATGTAGGGAAAATTCAGTTTCTTTTTAGCTGCAAACCACCGTAGCCACGTTACGCAGTACGTATTTCCGGCATCACGATTAATTCTAAACCTTTAACGTTGGCGTATTTCAGTTTGCAACACCGTTTCTGCGCGCACGAGTGCCCTCACCTGCCCCAGCAACGGTGCCAATGTTTGAATCTGTTGCCTGTTTTTGTGATCGGCACCCCTTTTTTTTTCTTCATCGCGGGACGTGAAGCTGCTGCTGTTTTGTAGGCCCGTGGGCGCGTGGGCGGACGCCGGCGCGTTCTTGTGCGGGGGGGGGGGGGGGGACTGCTGCCGAATGACGTCAATGCTCCCCCCCACCCCATGGCCGCCCACTCGTAGCCGGCATCGATTCCTTCCTCCCCGACCCCTTCGCCGCTTTCTCTTCGACCGGGGTAAGGTCCTCATTTCTCGGCCAAACTGTAAGAGGGTTGAGGGGGTATGAGAGGGTTGGGGGGTGGGGGGAGTACGTGCTTATACCACAAGTGCTCGCGGTGTGGAGCATCTTGGGCGGGCGGCCATTTTGGAGTCGCGCGTGTTCTTTTCCTCCAGGTTTGTGGGGATTTGAAATTTAAGACGCGCGCGTGAAAGAGAGAGAGAGAGTCTGTCTCTGTCCTGCTGTGCGCTAATGAAATTTTCAGTCAGTTTCCTTGTAGCGCTCGTAAACAATTAACAAAGAAATGAAGGCACACATAGTCAGACATTCATTTCTTCCTGTTGTTTACGTGTGCTACAAGGAAACTTACTGAAGATGAGCTACCAACAAGACCGCATCGCATCTCTCGCTGCTGAGAGCTACGCCTCGGAAAGGGAAAAAAAAAAAAAGAACTATTATGTTACGCTTCCTGTAATGTGAGAATGCGACAGGCCTCCTGCACACTCTGTAAAACGAATGCCGGACTCTCTTTGAAACGAGCTGCTGCCGAAAATGGTCGCAGAAGTTTTGTTTTCAGTGGTAACTGAATGTTTACAATTGTGTGCGACTGCATCAACCAGTGCAGGTGGAAACTCGGAAGCGGCAAAGATTTGTTTGCTTATGTGCGTGTTAATTAAGGCATAAACATTCACTACACGGGGCTACACGTGCTGTTCCGCCGCCCCGACTCGATTCCTGAGCCCCCGCGTAGCCTCCTCTTTCCCGAATGACGTCAAGCGACGCAGTCGATCGTCCAGTGCTTCTTTAACTTGTCGGCACTGCGGCGACCTGACCTTACCACGCGCCGCTGAGTTCGGCGACAAATCCGCCTTCGTTTCCATCCCACTCTTCTTTTTTTTTATCTTCTCTGCTGTGGTGGTTGCGTGCACTGCCGACGAGTGGTAGGAAAGGAAGAGCGCGCGCCTATTTGCGCCTGCATCGCGCCAGCAGCCCTGACCCGTCTGCCCTCTTCGGCCGCGGCGCGCCGCTGCGACCATTGACGTCACCGTTGACGTCACGCCGGGGCGGATCGATGGCCAAGGTTCGTGCCCGGGTTCCTCAGTGCCAGTTCGCTCTACCCGGCAGCCGCTGGCGATCGCATTTCCCTCTCCCCCCTGCGAGCTGCGTCCTCGTGCATTGCATTTCTAAGTGTTACCCTCCCTTCTTTACTTCTCACGTAGTTCACCTGAGCGGCCGTGATGTGGGTGTTGGGAAACTTTTATTGTACTTTTATTTTTCTTCCCCGCGGACGTCTATCAAGATATGTCAGAGGGCGCTCGAGCACTCCACTTGACGTCTTTGTGGGGAGTGGGTAGGAGGGGAAGTTGGGGGCGCCGTCTATCTAACCCCGGCTCACTTTTGGGCGCAGGAACTGCTTGATGATCAAGGGAGTGGTGGGCGTTGAAGGGAAGGTGGGGGGTGCGAGGAATGAACTCTGGTTGGCGGAAATAAGCGCGTCCTGGCTAAAGCAAACACTGGCATCTACCAGCCGCCCCAGACAGGACGCGGGCCATCGGCGAGCTTCCGCAAAAATGCGCATGTGGGAGGATGAGTGCAAGGACCTCTACTTTTAGAGTTAATGCTGGACCCTATAGTTAGCCACTGCCACTGCATCCCTCCCCCTCCCCAGCGATCTGTGGGTGCCATTTGACCACCCAATATATGCAACTTGCGTTCTCGTTCAAACTCTGGCCCCGGTAATAAAGAACACTTTATATATTGTAAACGTGAAAGCAAACAAGAATTCATTTTACAAGAATGTGTCGATAATCTACAGCAATTCATTTTGACACCCAAAAGAATCCAGGGACAAACAAACAATATTGTGCCTGTGTCACTGCTTACTATTTCAATTAAATTAAATTCAATGTTTGTTTCATCACCCCCAAAAGAAATGGAGGAGGCCCAAACAAAAAGTGCAACATCGTTCACTTCACAGAGATTCGTGCCCCCCTTACAAGGCATACAGCAGGGCAGTGGATGGATACGATATATGTTCTTTTGCTCAGTAAGCTGTTAACACACACACACAAAAAAATTGCAGACTGGTCAATTTTCTTCTGTATTGTGTTATGACTAGGTGGACATCTATTCTGTCATCTAGTGGGTTCATCTGGGCATATTGGCAATTGTGTGCTGCTAGCCATGGTGGGGTACAACAGCCAGCAAGTTGGCACATTGTAGCCACTGTACATCGCTGCTTTACATTAAGCAGTTTCCGGCATTTTAATTTAAACCATAATTACTCTGTTGCGGTAAAGTGGCTGCCACACTTTGCTACCGAATGTCCCAGCTGTGGCAACTATATTCCAAAACACTAGCATGGTGGCTATAAGAGAGAGGGCAGTGCTTAAATACTGTTGTACTGATATTTTTTGTCCACATTCAACTAGCAAATGATAGTGTTGGCCTGTACAGTGCGAGATCACTAGTTTTAACCATGTTCATAGATTGCCAGAATGCTCATGTACTGGCATCAGGTATTCGTCTAGAGACTTCCGGACAGTCTGGTTTCAATACATCACCTCTCTCTGTGTTGCGATGTGACATTCGACACACTAATTAATAAAAGGTAATCGGTAGCATTTATTCTTACAGTGGTGCTGCAGTCAAGGCTGACTAGGTGAATTCTGATGAATGCTTGAAAGTGTGGTACGCAACCGCTTTTGCATCTGGCATTTCTGTTACTACGACAGATGGACTTATTTGTTTATATACTGTCGTACTCTGATTATTTTCAAATTATTCTCTCCAAATGTGAAACAGTTGCCATTTGAACTTGGGAGTATTTTTTCCGCTGATTGTCGCCACTTCAGCGAGGTTATTTAATGTTTTTATTTTTTTGTCTCGTTGCTATGCAGGCAACTAAAAGAGGGCACCCTGGACTCCAATAATGTGCGCGATGGAGAACGCCTTACACTGCTGCCTAGTGTGGAAACTGGTCTACAGGTGAGTTAATTGCAACCAGGCACTAATGTGCTCGTGCGGTGCATTACATGTTCATTGCTGTATCATCGTACTCTTTCTTTCACGTCATTCTGTAAATTTATTACAGCTGTACATTTCTTGTGAGGTCTGTCATTGTGCTCAAGTTGTAGTTTCGTGCCAGAGATGCTTGCTGTATCTGAAAACTCTTCAGTATTGTTAATTTCTGGATAATACGAAAAATAATGAGAAAAGCCAAGTGCGTTGAATTCCACATGTACTAAAGCTAATTGTGTTAGTCTCAAATATACATTAGCACTACTTAATTGCTGATTACTTATCTACATAAGTGCACGAATATTATCATGGAGTTCAAAGACTAGTGAGTATGGTCATTGATAGAGTTCAAAGACTAGTGACTGTGGTCATTGCTGTAGTTAACTTGACTAATCCGCTGCAGCAATCCACTGTTTGATAGAGTTCAAAGACTAGTGACTGTGGTCATTGCTGTAGTTAACTTGACTAATCCGCTGCAGCAATCCACTGGTTATGGTGCTTAGCTGTTGACTTGAGTGTCGCCGATTCAATCCCAGCTGCAGTGGTCACATTTTCATGGAGATGAAATGGTGGATGCCCGTGTTCTGTGTGACTTCAAGGCACATCATAGAAACCCAGGTGGTCAAGGCTATCTGGACCCCTCCACCACGGCATCTCTCACAGTCCGAGTCGCTTTGAGGAAACAAACCTCAGAAACCGAACCAACCCAACAGTTATCTAGTCTTTCTGGCACTTAAGTGCAGAACAAATATTTATTGATAAAGACTTGTTTATAATACATAGTATTGGCAGTGTTCAGTTTAATGCCATCACTACAACTTGGTAGATTGATGAAGCGTCTGCCTAACCAGGAGATGCAACACCTTAAAGGAGTACAGAAACAAAAATTTTGTATTCATTTTTCCTGTTGGGGTAAGCAGTTAATGGCTGCCTAATCATCATATCTAATGTGTGGAGCGACCACCAAAAGCAGAACTACAGTGGTTAACTTGCAAACCTAACTATCTCATTGTATAAGCACACAGAATAGCGACACACGTAGTGCATCCAGCATCATGCGCACATTACGTCGACAGATGCGTAGCACATATGAGGAGCAGTGGTAGCCAACATAAACTCACGATAGGTGGTTGTTTACAGTAAAATCAAGTTGATGTTTATTTCATGAGGTGCTCAGTTGTGCGCCACACACTTTAAAGCATATGTGAAAATTCTGCAGCAAGGTTCAAGCTGAAATAGGGATGCTAATAAAGCTTAAGGTAAATATGCTTTAGGTTATAATAGCCACTGACATTCTGTTGAGTGGGCGTGTGCTGATGTGTATAGAGTACACCATCTTTTTCACAATTTATCTCACTTTTGCAACTTTGTATCAGTACTCGTTTAAGCTCCCTAATAAATAGCTACATTGATTCACTATCTTGTTTAGGAAATAGTAAAAGGAAATGCTTTCACATCTGTTTGATCGTTCAATCCAGCGACCTATGCGCAGAATATTGTCTGCAAGTAAAGAATATTTTCAGTGTTCTTTAGTAATGCTGTAACACTGTCTTCTAAGTGCCCTTATTTCGGCACTAATCATATCTCTCTTTTCGACAGGCCATTAAGCCCGAACAGAGTGTCATGCAAGCACTGGAATCATTGACCGATGCACAGGTGAGTTGTGTTCAGTTATGTGCATTCTTCACATATAATTGCCTCATTGCTTGGAAACAGTTTTCAGTGCGTTGAATTGCTTGACTATTCATTTGCAGCTGAGTATTGGTAGCGTGGTGCGCTTTTGCAGTGTGGCACTTTTAGCGTCTTGAATTTCAAGCAAGATCGTGGGGAGATTTTTAGGGGGTGTGAGCAGCCACCGAGCTCGCTGTGTTGAAACTCCACATACCAAGTAAGTTCAGTGTCGCACTTCATTTTAATGCAGAAAGCTTCTGTGAGTAACTGGGCTTTCAGGTGTTTCCAGGTCACTGCAGGAAGGAACGTTTTCCCAGCTTTCATTTGAGCAAAAATAGATAGTGATCTAAAATTCAGCACAGACTGTATCGCATGCTATATAAACTAGGCAAATTACACACTATAGCATGATTTCTTTAAAAGTGTGGGAGTTTGTGGGAACCTCATTAGGATAGAAAGCAGAGTGGGTCGATAGGCATCGACCTGTTGGTATCTGTCGCAAAACGTGTAAGGGAAAGAACTCGAGACATCCTTATCACACTGTAAGAGTGGACAGCCAACATTTAGCTAATCCAGGCAGTGTTGGTATTGTGAGAGTATACATCGTAAGCACTTCATGTACTTATGGGTATGTGAAGGGCTTACCTTTGGGTACATGAAGTACTTCATGGCGTTTCTAAAATGTAAGACTTTGAAGTCCAACAAAGCAGTCCCATTTGCCCTTGATTACGGTCTTTATGGTTTCTATATATGGTCTCGATTTGCTACTTTTGATGATGTACTGTTGAGTTTTGTCAAGTAACTACCATGAGAACGAAGTGGCAATACTTAATTTTTAATCTGCAACCATATTGCAGCATGTGGCACAGTTTAGACGAGTTGCATAAATACCAGCAATGCTGTAAATAGAGAAAAAATACTCTAGCAACTCCGGGCTAAGCCGCCATTGTGGATGAAAACAAATGAAAAAAGAATGTGCAAGAAGATGCGCGTACAAGTGAAAAGAAGTGAGACAGACGTTTCATTTTGATGTGAACATTTTGAGGGATTCAGGTGGTATGCATTTCTAACAGCACTCAATGGGATTGCTCATGCACAATTGTAGGTGTTGGCTGCTACCTGTATGCACGTACAGATGGCACTGCAATGGATTCTTTTTGCAACTTGCTGATTCACAAATTTAAATACAACAATTTAGGGCTAAAGTACAGTTCGTGTCACATCGGCATCATTTTTACTCCGACACTTACTTCAGAGTTACATTGCCTTTAGTTTGCCAGGCTTGTGGTGTCTTGACATCGCTATTTATCATGAGCAAGAGCTCGTGCCTTTCTTTATATATAAAAAAAGACAGTCATATTTTTCTTCTTGAGTATTGCACCAAGCTGCAATAGTGATGGCGCAGCAGACAAGGGTGTAGGTCAACACGATGTAAAGGAGGTGACAGCGTTTTGGTTCACATAATGAAAACTTTTATTTGAGCGGCACTCTGGTGGTTTTATATGTCCTGCTACATTATTAATCTGTATGTAATGGACTGAATCGCATTGTCATCTTCCATAGTACATCTTTCTCATCTGTACATCATCATGAACGGCGTGACCTTATTGTCATCTGAACTCCAGCGCACTTAGGGAGCAGCAATATGTCTGCCCCTGATACAGACACTAGTACTGGGAATTTGTTTGAAAGTCCTAATAGCGTGGTTTATGATGGCCAAAAAACCCTGCGGGAAATGTTTACTGAAGTTAAAATCGCATTTATCATCGGTCCTGCATTGATTGCTTACGCTTTCCTTGTTTGCCCTGTGCAGGTGGAGAACTTCCTGTGTGGCCGTGCGCCGCTGCACCTGACCATGCGACTGGGCGACCACGTCATGTTTGTTCAGCTGCAGCTGTGCCCGCCAGTTGAGACACCGCCGGCCACGCCCACTTCGCCCAACTGTCCCGCCCCCCCTGCCGCCGTGGCACCTCCTCCCGAGGCGGTGCGTGCTGCTTCCTTGTTTTTTTTTTAACCGTGAGAGATGGTGGTCAGTGAACTCCACTGAAGAATATTTATGTGCCGAGTTACTGTTTCATCATAGCGTTCTCTGCTCGCACAGTGAACTGCAGGATTTCGGATAGTAGTGACATGGCATCTTTGTTTTACATGTTTTACGTCTTGTTCTGTACAAGTTGCAACTACACAGTGCGCAGGTGTGTACATTTTCTTTTCTTGTCAAGAAGTGCACAAGTTCGTGCTGCTTCAGCACTATTATGCTCTTCATGCTTACTGCAGTGCGAACTGGGTATGGTAACAGTATTGAGGGTAAAGCAATTCAAAGAAGCAAGTTCTCAATTTAAAAAATGACGTTGACCCACAAGCTGTTTGGAAACATTGTCTAGTTGGAAACTCATGAAGAGATACTGTAGTTCTGGTAGCTGCTCGACAAGGTAATCTTAGCTGGAAAGGCACCAGTCTGTACGCAGCAGGCGACAAACTGTCTGTGACTGAGGTGTTGCTTATCCCATCAGACATGTCGAAGATACATGCATTCAGCATCTACTTAGCACATTAAGTAGGGCCACCAGGAGCAGTTTCGTGGCTGCTATTACAAACCTTTGTCTCTGACAATTGCTAGAAAGCCTCATTTGACGCTACGCTGTTTGCTTCAACCAGTGAGAGAAGCAGTCAAGGGATTGGCAGCGACAGTGGACACTGACAGCAGGGCAAGGAGAGCTAGAGTCTTGCAGCCATCTTACGGAAGCCAATCTCGTTTTGAAGAACTTTTAACATATACAGACTTTCTACAAGAACTTGCTGAACTTTCGCCTGTATACAACAGTGGCAATCCCTTTACAGGAGTTACTGATATAACAGGCAGTCGGGTGTAATAGACACCAGTGTGCCTACATCGAAGTAGGGGTTTGTCAGAACGTGAGAACGTGGTACCCTGCTTATTAGAGATGCCTTACATTGGGAACGAGATCTGGTTCCCAGTGCATGTCTCTTATAAAGAGATATAACTGGCTGACAGTAAGACAATGGTCTTTCTCTCATATTAGCAAACAAGGTCAGAAGCCAATGACTGCCTTTTCTCCCCTATATGCTATTATCAGTACCCAGTGTGGAAGTTGAGGGTCAGAAAAAATGATTGTTACCATGAAAAGATTGTTAATTGGCATGATCTGAAGGCAGCGGTTCATGCGTAGCTGCAAGTGGTTACTGGACGAAAAGGGCAGTAAAAGGGGAAGTAGTATAGTCGAACCCCGCTGCTATGAACGCCGCTTCAACGAAAAATTCTCGATTCTCCGTCAGCAGTCCATTAGAGTCAATTCATAGATATTCTCGCCACAACGAGCACTTTTTCTTCTGCCATCCCGCTTCAACGAAATTTGAGGGTGCAATTCCAGGCTCAGATATTTAATGCTGTGCAGTAAACACAATCCTTAACATTTTGATGCATTTTCAGAACATGAAAATATGTCGACGAAGTTGCCACCACCGGAAACCGCCACTTTTTACCAAGCATGGGTGCCACCATTGCTCGATAGCGATGGCAATGAGACTGCCCTGCTTTTGCCACTGGCTTGCTTTTGAGCCGCAGGCAATCTGAAGCTGAAGCTCAGTTGCTTAGTTCATGGTTTTCTTCACGCAGCTGCTGGGTGCAATCACGAAACGATGCCGATGCTTGTCGTTCTGTTTGCGTTTGGCCGGTTCGGTAACTAATCAGAGTGGCTGTTCGGTCACATTATCAATAAAATCAGCCAGCCGCGAGTGATCGATGATAAGAATAACATAAATCAAGGCAAAAGTCACCGTTGCACGAACCCCGCCTCCATCTCAGTGATGTCAGATACACTTTGATGACGGACAGCTGCTGGTGTTAAGATGTTAATGCAACTGTTAGGTTCATTCATGAAAGCCATTGTGGCCATTGTTTCAGCGTGCTTTTCACCATGGCGTCATAGCGCAAGGGTGAGAATCGCATTGTGACGCTCCTGGGAAAGAATAGGAAGCGTCCAACACTTTCGGAGTTTTGGGAACAAAGTTAGTTTGTTTGGCTAGCTCAGATCAGCTATAATTTTTTTTATTTCACTACAACGAAATTTTTTCCGCACCCCGTCAGTTTCGTTGTAGCGGGGTTCGACTGTAGTGACGGTGAGGTGGTGTTAGTGCTAAGATAACCAAACGCACATGAGTTGATCTAAGCTTCGGAATACCTTTACTAGAGCTCATGTGCTCTAGCCACTATGCCACAGGTGCATGCCTCATAAGGTGGGACAGAGCACCTGTACGAATGTCTTGTCTGCAAGTGTTAAGATGCTTGGTGCATTTCCTACAGTGCTGATGGGCTGATGTCTTTCTCATCCCATGCGTGCACTGTTTAAGTGTGAGGCATCCACCAGGATTGGTAGTGCTGTAGATCACTCATGGCTTGCTCATGGTTTCTAGTGTTCCTCAACATCACCAGTATCTCATCCCCCTGATGTAATCCTGGTGCACTTCTGTTGAATTTATCTCTAGACAGTGCCATTTCATTCATCATTCATTCATTTAGAAATACTGCCAATCTCAAACGAGATCAAGGCAGGAAAGGGGGGGGGGGTTACAGCAGAATACATAACAAATTACACTAAGTTGTACAACAATGCGCTAAAATACATATATGCAGACATAAGTTAACTACAAGCTGTACAATATAAACATCATTCCACTAGAACACTAGGAGTAACACAAAAGAAAACTGTACATAAAGATAGTTATGTTCCTAATAATTGAGGTAATAACTTAACTCAACCCATTCAGTGTTGTTAAAGCTACCTCGATGGCCCTAGTAAAGCTCTCTTGTGAATGAGTGTTAGAAGTTGATGATCTAGTTCAATCCAGTCTCTTAAGGCTCTTGGGAAGTAAGAGTATTTAAAGCACTTAGAATGGTGTGTATATTCAGTTAGTGTCATGGAGTATGTGTTGCGTGTCGGTCTACATGAGGTTACTGAAATATATGTAGTGGTGTCAATGTTTACCTGGTTGTGATGCATGAATTTTAGTCTAGTTAGTTTGGATTTATTTTCAAGGCTAAGAAGGCCTGCATTTTTCAGTAATTCAGTCGGCGAGTCTGAAGCTTTATATTTGTTAAATACAAATCTGATGGCCTTTCTTTGGATCCGTTCGAGTTCATCAATGTATGTTTAGTGTACGGGAACCATGCAATGCTAGCATACTCAAGAACTGATCGGATAAAAGCTTTCTATGCTAAAGGCTTGATGTCAGGTGGCGCAATACGGAGGTGTCTTCTGAGGAAGAAGAGCTTTTTAAAGGCAGTTGATGTAATGGTTGTTAACGTGGGAGTACAATCTAAGATTCTAAGTACAATCTAAGATAACGTGGGAGTACAATCTAAGTAATAAACCGAGGTATTTGTGTTCTTGAACTCGACCTAACCGAAGTGTTATTTGCGGTATATGCGCCTGGCGGCTGCTTCGGACTAGTCGTAACCCGGTGCTTCTGTACTTTGTATGAACAGGCACCCAGTAGCGGAGCAGTCATTGATCAACTGCGCCACTTGGGTCAGGGCGTCTACTCTGGCAGTTTCTCGGGCACCCTGGGACCTGAACTGCAGGACGGCGAGGGTCGACCTCGTCGCCACGTTGCCACCATCCTGCACATTCTCCGGGACCTTCTTGGTGCCAGCCAGGGCTGGCGCGGTCCTCTCACTCCAACGAGCGCGTCGGCACGGTCACCCACGGCTCCTTCCGCACCTGCCAGTGATAACGGGGGCACGCTAGGAGGTGTGGCCGCCGGCGCCCAACACCTTTGTCCTCTTCAGCTTCGGGCAGTGAAGTGATGGGTGGGGACGCAACTCCGCCGACGTCGCCGACGTCGCCGTGTCTCCGCGACGCGACAAGTCTGCACCAGGAAGAGCACCGGGTGCTGCGGGGAAAGCTGGACCAAATCAGGGCGACACTCCGCGAGAGGCGAAGGGCCAGGCGGAGGGCATCGCCGTATCCAACGACGTCCACCACCTCGACACCGGCGGCATCGTCAGACGAACCAGTCCTGGTGTGAGGATGTGTCCTTGCTGCAGTGAGGATTTCAGGAAACTTCTTTGCCGCAGGGGCCCGGCCTGACGAGCTCTTCCCTGCCCCTCTCCTCAAACGGTGGATTGTGATGATGTGGGCATTTTGGAGCGAGTGATATAGATGCGGTGACGATGAGGCGAGCGCTGCTTGCCGTTCCAGAGATGTCCCGTCAGCAGGAATAGAGCCCCATTCACTGTTCATCGTTGTAATGCACGATTGCTTGCAGCTGTTACGATTCATTGTGGCGTGCCCGCCTGGAAAATGTGTCGTTGCCTCAAGGACATGTCGAATGCGCTTGAGTTTATGATCAGGCTTCCTGCTGCACATTGGCATGTTCATCTTGCATTGCGGCATTTTGGGTGGCATTTCTTTGAAAAACCACTCGGGCTAAAGTCTCAAGCAGTCCATCAGCAATGGTAGAGGCAATCGGGCAGGGCTGCTACCATGTTTTGATGACAGGGGCAAGCAAGAAATGCAGTTCGGGGAGCGGGTGGTAGAATACAGCCAGCGATGCTCTGTACACTGTCGCTTGCACGGTCTGTTGTGCTGCTGAAGCGGGCCAACATTTAAGCACTTTCTTCCTGAAGGTCACTGGTTGTCTAAAAAAATACGTGTTGAATCATTCAAGTTGGTTGATCAGTACGTTTTGGCGGAGAATGTGCACTATATGGTGACTACAGATTGAACAATAGGTGGCTTGCAGGAAAACATGCTTGCACTGACCCTCTTTGAGCTTGTAGGAAACTGCAACCTTTTTGTTCAGTCCAAGTATTTTAAGCTTGGTGCAGGTGTTGATCCCTGCAACCACTTCTCCTCCTAATCTGCAGGGCACTCCCACTAGTTTTATGAGCGTGATGTGCTCTTAAAGTATTGTTTTGTTACCTGCTGGCTTTGATGGCTTGAATATAGAAAAAACATACAAAGCAAACACGGAAACTTCGTGGTTTTATTCTATCTTTAGCAGATGTAAGTTATAGCTGCTTCGGTTACATGCACAGTATTAGGCACAGCTCTAATGGACTAGTGCCACTTAGAGAATGTTTTAGCAGGCTATTCGTGAACTGCCTCGTGAGGGCAGTTAGTGGGCAGTGCCTTGGAATACTGCAAGCGGCCTCCTGTTTTGGTTGCGCAACAGACGGCATGTTCGATATGCAAGCACGTTGAACCAAAGTTTGCAGGGCTGTGGTGTCGCACGAACAAACTACACTGCTCCAAGGGATCAGGCGACTCTGTCGATATCTGCTTGCAAGCGTCACGGCCCTTCGAGAGCTCTATTTTTGTCTCAGTATTAGAATCTTGTCTCCCTTTACACCTTATTTCTTTTTATTTTCTTGAAATGTACACTTGAGTATATCATTACGGCTTGATTGTTCTTTTTTTTTTTTGCCTTCACTTCTTACAAGAACTGCACCGTACCTATCCACAAGTACAGTCAGAATGTGTCCAGCTTGTGGTTAGCGTTGATGGAAGACGAGATTCTCTAAGGAATCTTGTAGAGTATTAGTATGCATGGTACTTTACCAAGTTCACTATCACTTTAAATGTGAACTCCGTCATAGCTTGGCACTTGTGCCGTCGCTAGTAGGGCTGTGGGTTTTGGGACGCGCCCTTCACATGGCTGTGTATGTTCATGCAAGCGGTGTCATTACGAAGTGCAGGGGAAGTGACGGCACACATTTAATATTTGCCTGTTGGCATAGGCAGTGAAGCAAAGTCATGGCCAACTACAAAGACTACCACCAGGGCTTTCAACGTGCCTAAATTTTAAAATTTAATTTCTCCTTATTTTGTATTGGGCTTGCACCTTACACAGCATCATTTGAAGAAAGTTGGCCAATGTCCTGGGCAGTATTTTGCTAACAATTCAAGCAATACCTCTGTATTAAATTTGAGCATATGCACTGACATCCACATAAAGAGTAGTGAGTTTTAGATTTAGTTTGTGATATTCAATAATTTTTTTTTATCCTTGTGCACTGCATATCGAGGTTTTTCTTGGCAATTTATAGGTAAGCTTGTGCAGTTAACATGAATATTTGAGCAAACTTGGTCGTTTCGATGCTTTTGTCTGCAAATTTCAGTTTATGTTGAATGCCACACTTTGTGGTGTTTCCACCGAGATGTTCACGTACAGTATTTAAGTAACAAGTAAAAATGTGCAATCATTGCAGAACTTCTTTTACTGCAGGATATTTCCTGCTCTCCGAGTCATGCTGAATGATTATGAGTGCGAGGTACCAAGCGTTATTTCCAGCAGTGTTGCATGCAAACCATGCCAGCACTTCGGATATGATGTGTACAACGATGCCAGTTATGACGGGGTTCAAATAAAGCATAGTATTTTATCTTTTCCGCCACACATTTGACTACACTGCTTTCTTGAGTATTATAAACTTGATAAAAAATGCTGTATTTTGCCCTCATATCCCATTTCTGGCCACTGTTGGTAGCTTTCCACGACTGTGCGTGTGTACATTTTTTGTCGGGAAAGGCCATGAATGCATTCATTTGTCATCTTTGCTACCTCAGTATTTTGGTTTTAGGAGCTTAGCCACGGTGCCACGCACATGCCGCCATGTTGGCAATGAAGGAGCCTGGATCTAGATTACGCAATTATGAGCTTGTCGCATGCCGCATTGTATTGTACTTGGAACAGCCCTAACAATTGCATCCACTAGTCGAAATCGCCAAGTAATCATTACAACTGAAGAGAGAGAAAAGCAAAGGCAGGGAGATTAACCAGATTGCACCTGGCTTGCTACCCTACAGGGGAAGTGAGAAAGGGAAGAGGAAGAGAGGGAAAATAACACTTGCGTCCGTAGCAGCGTGTAACACTCATGCTGTATTTAAGTAAGATGGGGGCATACTAACACCACAAGGTTGTTACATAGACACAGCTTGTGGGCAATTTGCAAAAATTCGACGCTGGTGCATACAGTTTTTGATATAAGTGGTTACTTATATGGCAATATTGTTGATTAGCCTTGCTATATTTAAAGTTTTGGCCTGTCGGTACATGCATTACGTTGCTGCTGCCATTTTTCAAGGGGGGTGGGGGAGATGAGAGAAATGGCAAGGAAGTTAATCAGGTGCATGCTTGGTTTGCTACCCTACACTGGGGGAAGGAAACAAGAATAAAGTGAGATTTCTGTTTCAGTATTTTTTTGGGGGGTTAACTCGTCTTGCTGCCATTTGAGGAGATGGCCACGCGTACCCGCTGGCCCACCCTAATGACACACTTTAGCCGCCAAATAACACACACAGAGTAAAGAAAAACACAAGGACAGGCGACACTTCCAACTAAGTTCGCTTGTTATTTCGTGGCTAAAGTAAGTCATTAAGCAAGTACCAACTAGGCCAAGAAACAGTGTTGCCTTGCCCTAGTTTTTCAAAGACGATTTCCGAATTTTTGTGAAGTGTTCAGCTTGCTCCGTAAATGGCCTTTGCGAGCAATGTGCGAAAGCCACAATGTCAAGTGGCTGCAATGTCAAGTAGTCAAGTGGCTGGCCTTTTTTTCCTCATGCGGCAGTGTGTGCGTGGCACCTGAGCACTTGTTAGGATGCTGGTGACACACTGGACTGTTGCTGCACAGTTGGCAATATCAACAACGATCACATGCAGAAAGAAAACCTTGCCACAGTGGCCCACGAATGTACAGCCTGTGTTGTTCTTGCTTGTCAACCAGTATTCCGTTTTGTGTTCTCTCGTTTTCGACCCCCGATTGAAAACTGCCGTCACACTGAGCGCCACTTCCACAGATTTCCTGTCATATTTTGGGAGTTATCAATAGCAAATAAATGAACGTACGCCTGGTCAACAACATGAGTTGTTTGTTGTCACTTGGTTCTCGTCCACAGATGACATTCCGTCGCTGTTCCAGCTAGTCACACATGTGACGTTGGAGACGCACATTAAAGAAGTGCACATTAAGAAGTGAACGCTTGTTGCAGTTGCAAAGGCACAGCCCAAGATTGCACTGAAGCACGCTTTTCTATCAGAAGTGCATGTCAGGAAACACTTGTTGACAATGCTTTCAAGATCACTTGCTTAGACAATTGTAGATTCTAGCCTCCTCCTTCACTTTTCCTGCAGGGTGGACAATGGAGGCTTTGTGTCATTGCCCCTAGCCGTTGGGTGTCCTGCAGTCTTGCATTCCTTTGTGCTCTCGCCGCATCTTGTTTGCACATATGTACTTGTGTAGTGTAAAGGTCTCTTGCATTTCTAAACAGTATCACACGAGCGCTGGATATGGTAGCGTAACGAAATCTGCCGACGATGCATAAGCGCACTAAGCACACAGCTGCACGCACTGTCTGCTATTGTTTACTTTATCTTAACATAAACAGCGCCCTACAAGGGAGCACATTGTAGAAATGGTCAAGAGTAATGCGCATGCAAACATTGTGCTGCAAAGTGCAAGTGGCCTCGGCTGTGCAAAACAGATTCACTTTTTGTAGCGTTAACCAACCCTAATTTAAAATTTTTCCTAACTTTTAAATGCTTCTCGTGGATAATTGCCATTGCACGGCGCGGTAACAGTGTACCACATGGCGCTCAGTTCAGTGGACTGTGCACTCGTGCAATTGGCAGATCTCGTTACATTTCGAGAATGCTGAGCACTTCACCCCATCTCACATTGAGTGCTCGCGTGATATTGATAAAAAAAACCTGCAAGACTGTACAATAGTATTAATAACCACAGAACTAAATTTGATTGCTGTGCACACGTAGCCTTACCCAGGAGTTCTGAAAGTGCCAAATCAGAGCAAGTGCTCGTCGAGTTATCGTGTGTCAGCTATACCACAAACTGATCATGCGAGTTCCGAAGCAAATATCTCGCCAAGAGGTCCGTGAAAAGCATCGCAAAGCCGTCATATTTTTTTGTCATCTCGCCTGAACATGAACAAAAAAAATTCCGCCATATCCACGAAGTGAATGATGATGAGTGGGCGAAGCTCCGGAGGTAAACCTGGTAAACCATGAATCCTCTGTACATTTTGCCCACTCGATTTTATACATCGCTCCCCCTAGCGTACGTCGCCGCACTAAATCGAACGATTGCCTTCAACCAATGACACGCGCCATATGTGACATCATTCCTATTTTATAAGATCTCGCGTCTTTCATCAACTACAAGTACCGCTTCCTAGTTTATAACATCTTGCATCTTTCATCATCAGCTACAAGTACCACCATCTAGTAAACACTACAAGAACTAAACGAGAGGTGGCTACATGGATGGATGGATGCTACGAGCGTCCCCTTTATAACGGGGTGTGACAAGTATGCCACCAGGCTCGACAAAAAAAAAAAAAATCTTTTTCTTTTTTTTTTTATGTTGGCTAATGCCTCTACTTCGATAAATTCTATCTTAATGGAAAAAAAGGTAAATTTTCAGCTTAAGTTCTCTGCCATTTACGGCACACTGTCCATATTTTATTTTTCCAATATTTATTTTTGTCCTTTCTCTCTAATTTTCTGCCACCAATACTCTAACCGTCTCTTACTTAATTTCAATCGCGGGTGTGTTCAGCTTTCCATTGTTGTCCCTAAAACCAAGGCTTCCTGTAGGCTCGTGCCCAAACGTACACCTGGAGGATATCTCCACATCAATCAGAACATGCTCCGCCGTTTCTTATCTTTCCCGCAGCATGTGCATTGTTCTTCTTCTTAACCTGAATCTTGCTTTATAACTACGCGTTCTAAGGCAACCCGATCTCGCTTCAAACAGTAAAGCGCTTCCCCTTTGAATTATCGTAAAATGCCTCCTCCTTATTTCATTTTTGCCCTTTCGGTAGTTACTCCAGAGCCGGTTTTTTCTCCATAGCCGCCATCCAGTAATCCTCTCCGCCTCCCTGACTTTTCCCTTAACGCTCTTTGTTGACATATGGCTCACAATACCAGCCGTATATTTACTAGTGAGTCTTCTAGTTCTTTTTCTCCACTGTGTGTCCACGCTCTTCCCATACAAATAACGGAACACCTTCTCTGCCCATCTACTCTCCTTCATATTTCTTAGCCTTTCTTCGAACCTTATTTTGCTCTGCGCTTCCCTCGCCTCAAAACCTGCCCACCCCATATCGCCCTTTACAGCCTCGTTTGTCGTCTTCCCGTGAGCACCCAACGCGAGGCGTCCCACAGTCCTTTGATTTACATCCATTCCCGATTGCACCTCTGCCCTCATGCACACCACTGAGTTCCCAAAAGTAAGCCCTGGAACCATTACACCCTTCCACAGACCTCGAAGCACCTCATACCTATTGTATCCCCACAACGCTCTGTGCTTCATTATTGCCGCATTCCTCTTTCCTTTTGCTGCCGAGGCTTTTTCCTGTACCTCCATGTATCTATCACTCTCATTTACCCATACTCCAAGGTACTTGTATTCACTTACCCTCGGTATTTCTTGGCCTTGTATGGACACCGTCTGATCACAGGGATCATTGAATACCATCAATCCACACTTCGTTACACTGAATCCTAGTCCAAGAGCTTCACCTTCCCTTCCGTATATATTCGCCAGCTGCTGTATATCATCTCGACTGTCCGCAAATAAGACGATATCGTCCGCATAAATAAACCTGGAAGCTTCTGCTCAATCATCATGCCGCCCTGTTTGTGTGACAGATTAAAACCAATGTTGCTACCTTCTAGCGCTTTTTCCATACTCACCATGTACAGCATGAATAACAGTGGGGACAAAGGACATCCCTGTCTCAGACCCCTGCTAACCTCAACGTTCTCTTTGCTACGCATTCCTTCCACTCTATGCAAACTGTATTTTCTCGGTATATCTCCCTCAAAAGCTGTATACAGTCGTCGCCCATCCCATTCCTTTCAGTATATCCCACAAAATTTCCTGATTAAACGTTGTCGTATGCCCCCAGTGATGTCTAGAAAAGCCACGTACAAGGGCCTATTCTCTATTTTAGATATTTCTATACACTGAGTGAGAACAAACAGGTTATCGTCTAACCGCCTGTCGACTCGAAATCCGTTCTGAAGTTCTCCCAAAATATCGTTATGTTCGGCCCATGTTTCTATTTCATTTTACTGCTTGCATCGCCAACCTGTATAGTACCGATGTAATGGTTAGGTGGTCTATACGAGCGAATCTTGTCCTTTTCCTCCCTTGCCTTTATAGATTAAGTTCATTCTACTTGTCGCCAACTGTCCGGTATTTGTCCGTCCTTTAAGCTTTTTTCTACTGCTTTTACAATGCTTCTTTAGTATTATGTCCTAGTTCGTTAATGAGGCTAACCGGGAATCCCATCTAAACCCGCGGCAGTGCGCTTTGGAATTTTTCCTTCGGCCTTTTTCCAGTTGAAATTATCAAGTACTAGCTCTTCCTCTGTTGCTTTTCTCCGCCACACTTTTACTCACCGGGAGATCCCCTGGACGCTCTTTTGAAACGAATCGGCTGTTACCTTTTGGATGTACCTAGCGCTTCGTACCCTTCCAATTGATTTCCTCCTTCATCTAGAATATGTTGTTGCGTTGTGACAGACTTCCTACCTAGCGCCTTTATGTGGCTCCAAAAATCCTAGGCGCGGCCTCCTTTTTTTCGTGTATCTCTGTCATCCAGCGTTCACTTTCACCTTTAATTTTTGCCTCTACCAATTTCTGTACAAGGGATTTTTTCTCCAAATATATTTCCCATATTTTTTTGACTTCGTCCTGCGGCCGCTTCTCCTTTTTTGCCTTTCTATGCTCCCGTGATGCTTCGCGTCGCTTCTCGATCGCCTCCCGGATTTCCTTGTTCCACCAACTTTTTGGCTTCCTTTTTCCTTTCCAGCAAACAGTTTTCTTCTCTTCCCTATCTCCTTCGTCATTAGATGTAACAGCTCACTATACTCCCAGTCCTTGCCTGTATTTCGCCTACTTCTTCCTCGACTCTTGCGGCTATATTTATTATTTGTTTGTCATTTAAATACGAGCTGCCAGACTTTGATTCCATGCTCATATTTTTAGTTTCGTATCCCATTTGTAATGTTATTCGTTTATGATCACTACCCAAGCTGTTAATGCCTTCCTCGTCTATCCTCATTTCTGTCAGTTTGTGGTAAATTCCTTCAGTCATGAGACAATAATCAATACTTGATTGCTTGTTTCCGACTTCCCATGTGATCTGGCCGTCACATTTAGGCCCCGTGTTAACTATCTCCAGACTATGTTGCTCGCAGAGATCTAGTAATAACTTCCCATTGGTGTCTGAATATCCGTCAAGGTCATGTATGTGGGAATTCATGTCCCCTAGAAGGATGATTTCGGCCCCATTACCAAATTCCTTAATATCCGCACTCATGCAATCCACTATCTCCTGATTCTTTTCTCTGCAGTTATTCCCCGTCCACAAGTAGGCTACCCCTAGCCACGTTTCCTTTCCACCTACTGTGCCCAGAACCCAGAGGTGCTCTGAACACGTCTGTTTCACTCTAACCCATTTGGCTCCGCGGTGAATTAGCATTCCTACACCCCCACCTTTCCTTTCCGATATGGTCCTGTTACACCCTTCCCAAACATAATTTTTAATATGTGGTGGCTCTTCCAAGTCTCTAAGGTGTGTTTCTGTAACCGCATACACGCCTATCTGTTCTTTGTTTAACTGCTCCTCAATCTCTAACCATATTGCCTTCTTTCTGCCACCCTGCATGTTTATGTAACTAATTGCAACACGCGCCTTTTTCCTTTTTCTTTTACCTTTTTCTGGTTTTTCGCAATTCTACCTGTCAAAGCGTCCTCCTGGTTGTTTTCCCTGTTACGAGCTACCCCGGACTCCGAAGGGCCCGTGAGCCCCCCAAAAAAGCTACTGCGCGTCCTGCCAGTCGCCAGCCCACCTCGTGTCCAAGCGTCTTATCGAAATGAATCTTGTCTCTTTGGAATCCACCCCACCTGTGCACTTCCCTGTTTAAATCCACTACCTCGAAACCCTTCTCTCGACTAATCGCCATATCTCTTTGTTTGCGTCGACAACCGCTCTTTGCAGGTTGACGTTGCGTACTGGTACTTCCGGTACTGTGCATACTACAATTTGCACCTGGGGGACACGGTGCGCATGTCATCCACCCCTTTCGCCAAGGTCGTCGCTAGTCCTGACGATTCTTTTTTCAGGACGTCATTTAACCCTCCCGCAATTACAACGAGGTTACGATTGTTAGCTTTAGCTGCGAGTTGTTCACCCGCTTGAGTCATTACTGTCCCCAGCGTTTGTCCTGGGAACGTCCCTATCGCAACTCTCTTGTCGCCTTTCACCCTTTCTTTGATTGCCGCTGCGCATCGGACTAAATTTGAGTCACCGGCGATGATGACCTGTTCAGACATTCCTTCTGAAACCTGCACCTGGCTGCTGACTAGGTGACTAGCGTGAGTCACGGCTGCTGGTTTGCTCCCTCCCTCCCTCAAAACTACTTCCCGGTAGCTGGGCCCTGTGGCCAATGTATCTGCCTTTGTCATGCCTGTTTCCCTCATCTCTCCCGCACGGGGGGTCGTCGCCATAATGCTTCCGCCGTCACCTGCGTCTTCGTTCCCCTTCACGACCTTCGATAGGCCCTTCTCGGCTGCCCGGAGCCTTTCCTCCATGGCTGACGTTTTCTCTCGCTCCTTCGCCAATGCTTTCTCCAGCTCTGCGATTTTCTACATGAGCCCACTCTGGACCGCCATCATATTTTTCATTTTCTCCTCGAACTCGCACTGTCTACACTTGGCGTCATCTTCTGCTTTCTCTTCCGCACTAATTTCTACATACAGGAGACGGTACCGCCATCTAGTGAACACTGCAAGAACTAAACTAGAGGTGGCTACATACAGGGGACGGTACCGCCATCTAGTGAACACTGCAAGAACTAAACTAGAGGTGGCTACATACAGGCTACAGGGGACGCACAGCCCACGCCCTAAGGAGCTTCGCCCCTAAAAGCGGTTGAAATGTTTTAAACCTAACTGCGCAGCACGACGCAAGCTAAAGTGCATTCCCGTGGAAGGTTCTCATCTTGCTGTTAACTGCAGCAGACGACGCCAATGTTGGGAAGTGTGTGTGTTCGCGCTGAAGGCCTGACCACACCTATTTGTCGCAGCGCGTGGCTTTTTGCTGGCTTCTGAGCACGTGGCTGCGTGCTTTCTCCACATGGAGAAAAAGGGCGCGCAGCTTCGCCTAGCTAGCCGAGTCAGAGAGCCACGCGCTTACACGCTGCAACGTGTATGTGTGGCCCAAGGAGGTTTTTTTTTTCAAACTTCTTTGGTGTGGCGAGGCCTTTAAAGAATGACAGCCGGACGGCGTGGATACCGACTCGTAACTTAGAAGTTACGAGTGGACACGGGATCGGTGCTTCTGTACAAGCACTGAATCGCTTCCCTTTTGCAATGCAGGTTCAGCTGGCATTCCTCGTGCCCTTCTTATCAAGTGCATCCTTAGGCGTGATATGCGCTCCTTCATTACCCTCGACGCTGGAACATCTAGGCGTCGGCGCGTCTGACGTGGTGATCTTTTCGCCTCGTGATTTCGCGCCCATGCCTATCCTGCCTATTCTTGATGAACTCGTCTTCAAGCAACCCCCCGGATCGACAGCAGCATCAACTTCAACCAAGTGTTTAAGAAGCCAGCGCAGCCCAAACCAATTCAGTGGACACGGGATCGGTGCTTCTGTACAAGCACTGAATCGCTTCCCTTTTGCAATGCAGGTGTGTGCAAACGTTTCTTTATATGCAAAGAAAAATAACAACCTCTGCTTAATACTGGTCCCGTGTCCACGGGTGTTGTGTGAAGTGTTTTGTGAATGTTTTTTTCATACCTTTTTTGCTTCTACGCGCTGGCGATGTTGAGAGCAACCCCGGGCCCCCTACCAAGCGTTCGGACACGCTCGGTGACATAGCATCCTTACCCGCAGATCCCGCGGAACAGATGAGGGTCATTTTCCAAATGCTCAAAGATGTTCACACCCGCTCACTGGAAAGTTCGAAGATACAGACCGAATTAGCAGCTGATGTTAAAGCAATTAAATCTGGACAGAAATCCATCGAAACCAAGATCACTGCTATTCAGAACCGGCTTGAAGTACTGGAGGAAAATTATAAAAACTAGAAGAACTTACCCAGGAAGTTAGTAGCATCCATACTCAGACAGATCAGCTTTCCGCTCAGGTATGCTCATTGCAAACACGCGTGCAGGATCACGATGACAGACTGCGACGCAACAACCTCATTTTCTACGGCATCCCAGATTCTGAAGAAACCTGGGCAATGACAGAGGAAAAAGTTATTTCCACTCTCAATTGCCACCTTTCTTCTCCCCTTTCCTCTGATGCCATTGAACGCGCGCATCGCTTGGGTACCTTCAGCCAGGGCAAATGTCGCCCAATCATAGTTAAATGCCTATCCTATAAAACAAAAGATGCGTTACTTGCGACACATATACACCTAAAGAAACATAACATCACTGTAGCAGAGGATTTTTCACCCGCTACACGTGCAGCTCGGAAAAAAACTACTTGATTTTGCCAAGAGTCAACCAGGCCCCGTCAAGCATAAACTCAGCTACAACAAGCTGCTTCTGAACCAAAAATGCTACATGTACGACCCAAACAGTGATGCAATCATCAACATTCCAAATCGTAGTACACAAACCATTGCCCCGCCTGCAACTTCCAAGCCCTAGGAAAGCGCGAGGGGCAGTGGTCATGTGACTGTAGCTTCCATATCGGTCCTGTTTACTAATATCAGAAGTGTTCTTAACAAGTATAACTCTCTATCATCAGCGATCGACACATGCTCCGCTAAAATTATCGCGTTAACTGAAACTTGGCTCTGCGGGCAAGTGTGCGACTCCGAGATATTTTTAAACGCTCATCGCTTCTCACTTTTTCGTCGCGACCGTGGCACACAGAGAGGCGGTGGCGTACTTCTGGCTATTTCCAGCGATATCCCATCATCATCTGTACACGTTCATACTAATCTAGAAATGATATGGGCTGTGGTAACGCTTAGTCACCAGAATGTAGTCATCGGGGTATGCTACCGCCCACCCTCACCCTCGCCTACATTCAGTAGCGAACTTCAAGATGCCATAAACGTTGTTAGTACGCGTTTCCCTACATCGCCGTTGCTCTTGCTGGGTGATTCCAATTTTCCCAACATAACCTGGAATTCCCATTCCCCTTTAATATTTCCGCTTTCGTCCCAAGCTCGCGAATTTTTAGACGTTTGCTCGGTATTTTCCTTACAGCAAATGTGTACACAAGCAACCAGAATAGTAGCTCACGCTGCAAACACATTAGACTTAATTCTAACAAACAGTTCCGATATAATATCGCCCATAACGTACCTTCCGGGTCTTAGCGATCATTTGCTTCTACATTTTTCCATTAACTTAGCCCACCCGAAAACAAAGAAAAAGAAGAAAATCATTCGTGACTATAACAGAGGTGACTTTGAGGCAATCAACAATGACCTTTCTACCTTCGCTGATCTTTTTCTTGACGGTTTTGACGATCGCAGTGTACAAACTAATTGGAATATGTTTTCAGATAAAATAATTCAACTCACTGAACAGTACATCCCACACCGCAGTGTAACCAACAACTCAAATGCACCCTGGTACAACAGCCATATCCGGCGTTTGTCAAACAGGAAAAAGCGTTTCTTTCGCGCCGCAAAACTTTCGCCTTCTAATGAACGTTGGGCTTTATATGCAACAGCGTCTACGTTGTACATTCAGGCCCTTCGAGATGCAAAAAAAACATTTTCATTCCCATGTACTACCTTCCATGTTAACCACAAATGTTAAGAAATTCTGGCGAACTTTTAATCCCTCAACCGATGACGCTATCACACTGACCGATTCCTCTGGCGACCCCATTTCATCTGATATTTGTGCCTCAGTTTTTAACCGTACATTTGCTGAGAACTTTTCTGCCCATTCTGCTGTTAATAACCCCACAACAAACAGCCATACCTTTGAAAGTATGCCACCTATACTAATCAGTACACTTGGTGTTCTTGAGCTCATTGGTGGACTTAGCCTTCATTCAGCTCCCGGCTGTGATAATATTAGTAACAAGTTCTTGAAAAACACTTCGGCCTACGCTGCGTTAATCTTAACTAAACTTTTTCAACAGTCTCTTGATCAGTCCATTCTTCCAAATGAGTGGAAAATTGGGAAGGTCATTCCAATTCACAAGTCTGGAAGCAAGACATCTCCACTTAACTATCGCCCCATTTCCTTAACCAGCACATGTTGTAAAATGTTTGAGCATATATTTTCACTAAACTTGTCGGTTTTCTAGAATCCAACTCTTTTTTCTGTTCAGCACAACACGGTTTTAGAAAACATTACTCATGTGAAACTCAGCTAATAACCTTTACTCATGCGCTACATCAAGTACTAGATCGATCATCGATCATTGACTGCATATTTTTAGATTTTTCTAAGGCATTCGACAAGGTTTGTCATAAATTGCTACTGCTTAAACTAAACACGCTTAATATTGGTATTAATTTACTGAAATGGATTGAGTGCTTCCTTTTAAACCGCTCACAATTTGTTTCTTTTAATGGCTTTAACTCAGAGTTTACAGATGTCTATTCGGGAGTTCCTCAAGGTTCAGTCCTGGGCCTTTATTATTCCTAATTTATATTAATGATCTTCCTTCCGTTGTTAACTCTAATATTCTCCTATTCGCGGATGACTGTGTTGTTTTTAGAGAGATAACGAACTCTAATGATGTTGCCTCACTTCAGTCTGATCTTGGCGCAATCGCAGACTGGTGCAGTGAATGGCTAATGCAACTAAATATTAATAAATGTAAAGTCATGCGTGTTTCCAGAAAATCTTCCCGTCCACCACCATACCACATTGATAACATTCATTTAGAATCAGTAACTTCATATAAATACCTCGGTGTTTACATTACTGCAAACCTAAACTGGTCTGCTCATATCGAGCACTTAATTAACAAAGCTAACCGCATGTTAGGCTATCTTCGTCGAAATTTTTATCACGTTCCTTCCTCCTTGAAACTCCTGCTCTATAAAACACTAATCCGATCGAAATTAGAGTATGCCACATCGGTGTGGGATCCCACCCATATCAACTTAATTACTGCTCTAGAGATGGTTCAGAACAACTCTGTACGTTTCATTCGCGCTAATTACAGTCGCACCACCAGCATAACTTCTATGAAATCAGACCTTTCCCTCCCATCATTATCACTGTGCAGAAAAGTGTCACGCATTGCCTTGTTTCATAAAATGTATCATCATCCTGATCTGCGCGATCGACTCATCCCTCAACCATCTTATGTATCCCATCGCACTGATCACCGTCACAAAGTTGGATTCGCTTCATGTAATACTGAGTACTTTTATCAATCATTTCTACCACGAACCTCTCGCGATTGGAATGACCTTCCCGCTGACATTGTAAACATTAATAACTGTAACATTTTTCGCAATTCTGTAGCTAATATTGTATACTCAGGCTCTTTCTAACTTATAGTGCGTCTCTATTGTACTTGCATATTTTGTTCCTTTTATTTTGTTACCTTTTTGTGCTTTTACCACTCCCCCTCTGTAATGCCTCTGGCCCTGAGGGGTATAATAAAATGAAAATGAAATGAAATGAAGTGTGGCGGTTTAGGCTAGTTGGTAAGACATGACGATAATAGCGCGAGAACAGAACGACGACAAAGAGACAAGAAGGAGACGAGCGCTCGTCTCCTTCTTGTCCCTTTGTCGTCGTTCTGTTCTCACGCTATAACTATCGTCGTAACTGACGTCTTCTGTCGTTTCTCTTCAATTTTTTTTCGCCCTTCCCCGCGTGCTGAAGAAGTTGAGCAGGCGAGGGTAAACCGGTTAGGAGAGGACTGTCGCTTCTTCGCGGGCACCGCAACACCTCCTGCTAACGGAGTTAATTAAACGCGTCCAGGCGAAGGGGTGCTGCCGTCAGCTGTGTTAAAGCCAAACGGGCAACTCGTTAGCTTGAGCTGACGTCGAAGCTGGCGGTCTTGGCGAAGATTCCCTTTGCGAAGACATCACTACGTCCTCGCCGCCTGTGTGTTCTGGTTTGCTGTGGTCCAGAGACACAACTTCGTAGGGTGGCCGAAGAAGTCGCCGAACCGCATCGTGTCGTATACGAACACGTGTGAGCACGATGCGAGCTGCGGGTGGACGTTCACCACGTGACCCTGGAGGTGTACTGCGTGAAGTTTGCGCATGACATTGCGTAAGTGGAGCGCGTAGTTACTGTAACTGTGGACGACTTCTCTGAGTCGTGCTTAAAGAACTCTCCTGGCAGCCTGTGTGTCGTGCCGTAGACCAACTCTGAGGCGCTTCAGCGAATGTCTTCTTTCGAAGTGGACCCTATGTTCAAAAAAACTCCCAAGCATTTTCCCGAGGGTGAACATGGTTAAGTGCGAATACACGGGGTGATGCTATGAGGGGTATTAATTCGCACTATTATATTTATTAATCACACTATGGTGCCTTTATGGTGTAATGGTTCCTGGGAATCGCACGGGGAGTTTACGTTAACTCACTGGCGAATGCCAACGGATTTTAACTTTACTTCCCTCACGACCCGCTCTCAACGGGAGACAGAGAGAAGGCGGGCGCGCGAAAGAGAGGGGTGCGTGCGCAGCTGCAGCGAGCGAGGAGAGCGGAGGAGCGAGCGAAGGGGGAGGGGGTATAAGGCGCGTTACTGACACCGATATCAGCGTCGCGTCCGTGGCTTATTCGGTAGAGCGCCGCGCTGCGGCCCGCCAAGTCTTCTTTCTTTTAAAGATAGAGAGAAGACTGCGGACGCCGCCGACGGCGGTAGATGGTTTGGGGTCGCTTATAAAGTGTATTCACACTTAAAAGAACTGGGGGGAGGGGGGGGGGGCTTCTACTCAGCTATGTTCCTCGTCTGCTGTAAGCGTGGCCTTTAGCTGACGGTGAAAACTCCACCGTGCCAATGCTCGTAGGGTGGTACGTCGTCTTACGTATGCGCGAGGTTCCCATGAGCTAGATTGCAGTGAAGACGGTGGATTGGAGCTGTCGGCCAAGGTTCGTTGTTATCGTGGAGGGCACTCCGAAGTGGGCTACCCATTGGTACAGAAACGCATTAGTTACCGGTTCGGTGGTGATGTCCACGGTAGAGATGACCTTCACCCAGCGGGTGATGCATGTCCTCACAGGTCAGCAGACAATTTTGTCCGTGGCAGGGTGGCAGTGGGCCAACGACGTCCATGTAGACATAATTAAAGCGAGAATGCCGAAATCCGGCGTTGGGAGTGTTTCCAGAACTGTCGAGGTGAGGCGCTGTATGTTGGGTCAAATTTAGAGCGAATATCTGTGGCCATCCGTTTCAAATCGTACAGCCACATATCACCATCGATGTCACCGTCATCATCGTCAGTTTTCTTGTAACTCGGCAAATCTTGTCCTCGGAT